AAGGATTTTCAAAAAACTAAACTAGCAAACAATTAGTAAAAACTAATTAAAACTGATATAAAATTGAAAATCTGAAGTCAAAACTAAATAAAAATAAAAACTAGAGAAAATTGCAAAACTATTAAAACCCTGCTTATCAGCTCTCCACCCTTGTCATGTTCTAGCTAGAGCGCCCCCTGCAGCTCACAGGAAACTCAAACTGAACACTGCGCTGCAGCAGCCTGGCTGTAAGGACTGAAACAAGAGAATCCACCCCGGAGACTAAACTGACTTAAAAACCAAAGGTCAAAACGAAAGAGAGAAATAAACTATAATCACTATAACAGGAAGGCAGCGACTGAACCTTCAAAATAAGAGTGAGGGGCGTTTTCCAGACATCAGGTGATCACACCATTGTCTTAGACGGTCGAAGGAGATGAAAACGATGCATCATGATGTCATAAAGCGATTCAACAATCGTATTTATCTGCATAAACTCACCAGCAGGGGGCAGCGTCTGGCTGAGCTCAGTGAGCTGTGAAGCTGCGATCTGCTGTCCTGACTCTGAGGAGGCGTTTGCAGGAACGATCCCAGCCGGGAAGTCGTTATTCTCATTATTCCCACATCACGGTCGAGCGTCACGTTCGTCTGTTTCTTTCTGACTTCCTGTTATAGAAGCCACATTGAAACAGAAGAATGGAGGTCCAGCCTTGGTCATCCCTCACAGGCAGACACACATGCCGCCATAACACAATCATGTCACATTTTCGCACTGCGGGGGCCACTCCTCCTCCTCGGACTCACTGAGGCTTTGTTCTGCCATGGCGCCTGATGGTGTCTGAAAGTTAACAGAGCGAACCGCTGCGTGCTGACGTCAGCAGTCGCGTGCAACGATGCATCGGTGGCCACAAGTTTGAATGTGAATGGGAAGCATTTGATCTTTGGGGAACAAAGCCTTTTATTCAGGATCGTCTCCGCATCCTGGTAACTGAATACCTGCTGTTGCACCAAACAACAAGGTTCAAACCATCATTTTAGCCTTCACAAATCTGTGCGAGCTCTTCACTCAGGACGTTTTATCAGTTGCAGGCTTGGCGTGAGGAACGCCAGCATCATCAGTTTTACCCTCTTAAAGCCCCCCTCATTAAAAACAAGGTCGAATACGTATTAAGGCTTGTAGTTTGTATTGTTAGGGGCGTGGCCTTTTTGACTGACAGGTGGATGCTGACACAGGTGGCTGTAGCTGCTAGCTGGCTGCTTGGCTTCACTTCGGCTAACTTTGGACTGCACCTGTGGACCAGGTTTGTGCTGTTGGAGCCTTTATTGACCTAATGTGACCAATGAAATGGCTGCTATGAGGTCGTTGTGCTAACACGCTTCAGTTCTGGTGAAATTCTACTTGATTTATTTTTACTGAGCTCTAATCGGCCGTTATCTTGTCTGTGGATGCTAACCAAGCTAATTAGCATTAGCTGATAGCTTGCCCCTCCCCCCTCTGTTTCCAAATATGGCACTTCTGGCAATAATGCTAAACTCTGGGCTTCCTAATGTGAGTGATGTCATGCTGCTGCTTTCTGATTGGCCCTCTCAAGTACTTTGATCTGAACGGAGTACTTCCCTTTCAGAGTACTTTCTGTCTAAATCAGCCTCCTTTGGCAACCCCCCCCCACACACACACACACACACACACTGGGTGAGCCCAGGCCACGGTCAATAATAGACTCACTAGCTGTGAAATTAGCCAATCAGAAAGCTGCGGTGGGGCATCAGCACACAGTTTAAACACAAGGTACTGTGTGTGTGTGTGTGTGTGTGTGTGTGTGTGTGTGTGTGTGTGGTGTGAATTTTCCCACAGTTGCTGATGTGTTTAGTAAATGCTGCTGCAGTCCAGATGTTTTTCCTCCCTGCTGGTTCTCCTAATATGGCAGCATCAGCACAGACTCTCTCTGGTCTCAGGGGAGTCATGGGAGTGTGTGCGTGTGCGTGCGTGTGCGCGTGCGCGTGCGTGTGTGTGCGTGTGCGTGCGTGTCATTATATTTTCATTGCAAAGATTTCCAAAAATGTTCTTCCTCCCTGTTGCACTTCCTCTTTCTTTCTCTCTTTGCTGGAATCATAGCTGAAGCCTGCAGCAGGTTGTGGAGCTTGAGGTTCAAACTTAAATGTTTTCATGCATAAAAGAACATTTGCTCCATGTTCCCTTCTTTCATACTTTTGCCGTATTATTTTTCATCCTGCTGCTTGGTTAATGACGGGTTCTTAGCAGCCAGGAAGCGGCGGCTGGCCGTTATCAGCTGTAGAAACCAAAACTGATACAAGAACATTAAATGTCATGATCTCCAATATAAAGATACAATAAGACATAATAAAATAAACAGGTATTTTTTTAACATAAATAAATAATGATTCAATAAAATCAGCAGAAAGCCTGTTTAAATAAAAGCGCTTAAACCTGCTCTTTGTGACGGCGCCTCAGGTGGACGTCAGAGGAACTGCAGCTCCGATTGAACAAAGTCCCAGTTTAAGACCCCAAAAAGTCATGGCCCCAGTTTGAAGGACAAATATCTGCCACCGTTCTTTATGTGGGTGTTTGTAGCACGTACATGTATGTGTATTTCCACATGCTGCTCAGCGCCGCTGCTGTGGGGCCTTAAGGGCAGATTTGAACCACCTGACCTGCTCTGTTCCTTTGTGCCAGCGCAGCTCGTCTCTCCTTAAGTAATCCGAGTCCCATGGGACCGTTTGCCGTTCCTCCTGTTGTCTTCCGACCTTTGATCTCGCTCTACGGTTGCTTTTTAATCTCGGTGATGCAGGAAGCCGATTCTCCTGACCTGGGAGTCCCTGTGGGAGAGTCGGGGTGGGTAAATTCGATTTGCTCGCAGGGAGAATCGGCAGCGCTGGAAAGAGTAAATGAAGCCGTCTCGTGTTTCTCAGCATGGACAGCGTCCCGTTTCACCGCCGGGACGGCATTCAGCCTGGAGTTTTGCATCTGAAAACAATAAATGGAGGGATACTGCGTACGTGCCTCTGAGGCCACACCAGTTCTTTTCCACTCAGCTCAGGAATTCTAATGAGAACCGAGAACAAGCTGCTGCATGAACACATCAGCACATGACCAAGGAGCTTTTACATTTCCTCCACAATGCACTCATCTGGCCTCTGACAACCACAAGTGGCCGACTCGGCCACGTGACCAGAGCAGAGAAACTCCACATGTGAAATGGAAACAGACTTTCCTGACTTCCTCACTTCTCGGCCTTAAACACAGTGACCAGCTTCCCTGCTGCCGTGCTCCTCTCAGCAGCTCACGCTCGTCTTTTAAGGTCAGTAAAGGATCGTCAGCTGACCCCACGGCTCGTCTCGCCACAGAGGGTTTCCTCCCATGCATGTCGTCTCTGCCCTACAGGCAGCTGCTTTTAGTTTGAGAGGAACTCAACCCTCATCCCCAGAAACAGAAGCTAACACCAGGCAAGGCAGCGTGATGCATCCCGAGACAACAGGACGGGGACATCTACACAACTGTGTGAGTCAATCGCCTTCAAAAGGTTTATCAATTCACTTGAACCAAAATTACGAACACCCGGTGCTGCAAGAGTTAATAGTCTCATTGGGGCCAAGATATACGTTTTATAGTTGCCTGGTATCAATGGTTGTTCATCTGCCTTTATTTATTTATTCATTTATTTATTTAAAGAACCCATAAGTGGGAATGTGAGTTGTCTGCCTCTGCGTGTTAGCCCTGCGACAGACAGGCGACCTGTGCAGGGTGCAGGGTTTGGTAGCTGGAATAGCAACATACCCAAGGATGAGCAGAAGAGCATGACTGATATGATGAAACTGGGATTTTGTTGCACTTAATTATTGCAAACAACTAAAACTATAACTGAAACTAATCAAAACTAAACTGAAACTAAGGATTTTCAAAAAACTAAACTAGCAAACAATTAGTAAAAACTAATTAAAACTGATATAAAATTGAAAATCTGAAGTCAAAACTAAATAAAAATAAAAACTAGAGAAAATTGCAAAACTATTAAAACCCTGCCTATCAGCTCTCCACCCTTGTCATGTTCTAGCTAGAGCGCCCCCTGCATTTGAAAAGCTTCCTCACACAGACAGTGGACTGATGGAGCCCAAAAACTGGGACGACAGAGGGAGAAATGCTGGACCGAACGAGACTCTGAGCAATAGGCTGAGACAGTAAATCAGAGTTTTGTCAGAAGTACCACACCCTGCACTTCCCCCAGCATCCAGCAGGGGCTCCAGCGGGCTCAGGCCCCACGTTAAACATGTGTACAGCCTGATACCAACTGTTGGGTCTCTGTGGATCAGCTGTCCCCAAACCCCGGGTCATGGACCGGGCCGTGAGAGTTGAGACTCGGTCGTGAAATGTTATGGTTTTCAGGGTTTTAATCGTGTGCTCGGTCTCCCTGGGTCTCTCCCGTGTTGTAGTTGTGCGTCTTATTTTGAAAGAAATATTTATGCGTTGCCATAGCGACCTGAGAGCATTAAGGGGCTGAGCGGAGGACGCTGCTAATAAAGTTACACAATCACACAGCAAATTTGTTTGTCTCGGTTGTTGTATTTATCCGCCACACCGGAAAGGCCGCAATGCTGTGGACGATTCCCAGCTTGTCCCTGTATTTTCTAACTCGCCTGTTTAAAGGCTTAAAGTTTGCATTGTGACTGGCAGCAGCCAACAGCCTGCACTGTGGACTTTGTGACAAACTGCCTAAACTAACAAGAACTAGTTTCAACTTGCACCTCTTTATATAATTGAATAAATGGGGATGTATATGTGTTTATCTTTTCAGTAACGATGTATTGAATTGAATGTTTGTTATTTGTGCAGCTTCACAGCAGTGACCTGAGGCGGTTGTTTCAACTATGAGGAGTTTGTAACATAACGACTTGTCATGTAAATTCATTAAATAAACAAATCATAAATACATAAGGAAATAAATGCGCTAGACAATAAAATAATATGGAAATAAAATATGGGAAGTGGCAACTTTAAAGAAGTAAAACGTAATTACAGGCGTCAGTAAGCGTACAGCAGTAAGTACAGGAGGTGAATCATTAGAGGCGTAATCATCTTATTTGGTTCATTTCATGTTGATTTGAACATCTGTGACTATAAAGGAGTCTCGTGTGTGTGACCTCTGACCTGGAAGGTAAACACTGCGGGTACGGACGGGTCGGGGTGGAAAACGGGGCGGCTGAGGCCGGTTTCAGGTCAGCAGTTTCAGTTTGCTCTCGCTCTGTTTGCCTTTTTTTCCTGCTCAGAAATGTGGATGACGCCTCTGTCAGCAGATGCCCCGCCTCCTTTTTTTCAGTGTTTTTTTTCTTGCTGTGTTTGCAGACTTCCAGGCTGGCTGCTCGCTCAGTGAAGCAACAGCTCTGCTATAAATACTTGAATCGTATCCGAGGCTCTGCTGGCAGCTGGCTGTCTGGATTCACTTACTGTCCCGGGGACACTCGCACATCCACGCTGTGGCCGCTGTGTTCGAGCTGCAGACGTACAGACCTGGTGGATTTGATTTTCACAGCTCTGTGGGACACTTCCACCACAGTTTTTCTCTCGTGTGGCAGGATTTCTTTGACCCTGAGGAGTCTCTGTGCTTTTGGACTGAGCAGCTATGGGAGACTTCTGGGGAGACATTGCCAGTCAGAGGGTGGCCCGGGCCATGTCTCTGGTATGTATCTGCTTATAGAAGCAGTTTCTGTTTCACGTCATCAGATTGAAAAGTGGGTTTCTGACGTTGATAGTCGGGCAGCTTCTCTTTTGCTCGGCTGTTCGTGGTTGTGACTGAGCTCTGAGCAAAGGTGACGAGCGTTAGTGGTTTCCATGTGTCTGTTGGTCGCGCAGCGTTGAAGGAAATGAGTTTAACAGGAAAAGAGCTGAAAGCGTGTGTGCAACAGCGACAACACAAATGGCAACATCCTGCCTCTGCACACACGCAGTGTCGATCGTAGCCCAGACTCCGCTCTGATGTTTAGAGTCCACCGGCCGCTGCATCGGCGACCGGCCGACTGCTCTGCATCTAAACGCAGCCACAGGTGCACCTCGAGAGCGGCGGGTGTCTGCTGCGTTGCGACATCTGGCCACATCTGTTTTGCACGATATCGGCTCACAGGTACCGGCTCACCTTCAGCTCGAGTCGTCGGTGGACAGGATCCATCCTCAGGAAGCAGATCTCTCCTGATCTCGCCCTCGTCTGGTGGCGTGGGCGTCTCTCGCCGTGTAGCTGAGCTACAGAACAGAAGAGAAGCTGCGTAAGCGCCGGCTCTCGTAGTGTTTCCCCGTCTTTGTGTGAGGCGCACAAGTGCAGTCAGACTGCAATGATGGACCCAGCTGAGGTTACCACATGTCGGTTGTAACTCTGACCCCTCGTGGCTGCTGCGCACGTGAAGCCCCACACAGAAGTGACGCAGTCAAAGGTAAGAGGTCATGCTCGTGGGGAATGATGCGCTGGATGTTTCGTACTGCCTCGCTCTCTAAAGCTGAAAGCCGATCTTGAAGTGTGAGCGATGTTCTCGATCCTTCGGGAACGATTTATATTTTTACAAGCTTTGAAGTGAAAGTTTGTGTATTGGCTCCGCTCCGGTGTCCAGGATCCAGAGTTCATCTCTGAGGTCAGAAGGTCAGACATGGCCGTCTCCTCCAGGTCTCTGCAGCGCTGATTTCCACCGAGGGCCGGGCGATCGAGTTTAGTTTGGACGCCGCAGCTGGAAGCGGCGGCTGCGTTTTCAGGGAAGAAGGGAGCCTCGTCTTTTCCTTCCTTTAAGTTTAGTGTAAATTAGTAGAAAGTCCTTTCACTCTTACACACAGGACAGTTTATTAGGTACAGCGGTTGAACTGTTCTTTAACGCAAATTTCTAATCGGCCAATCACAAGGCAGCACAAGCCGACCTGCTGAAGTTCAAAGTGATAAAGGTGACTTGAAGCTCTCCTGGTCTGAATCTTTGTGCTGTGATGTTCGGATGTTGTACATCACCACGGTAACTGAACCGGCTCTTATACAACACTTGTACGCACAACCACAGCATCAGTGGTGCAGGCCGGTGGCGTGGTGGGTCGCGGCGTGGTGGGTCGCGGCGTGGTGGGTCGCGGTGAGCCCCACGATACAAACGGAGCATCATTTAAACTTGCGGACCAGCGTCTTCTGATTGGCTGCTACCAGCAGGATAACACACAACTTCACCAAACTGTGATCAGGCCAGCTGATGGATGTTGCAACAGCTGTGTGATGATGTCATATCGACGTGGACCAGTCTCTGAGGAGCGTGTCCAGCACGAGTATAGTGTAACTAATAATGTGGCCGGCGAGTGTATATTTGTCAGCTGAGGTCAACTTTGCAGCCGAGCCTGTAAATGAACACACCTGACCCCCCCCCCCCCGTTCACTTCCCAGGAGCAGCTCTGAAAGTTTCGTAGCTTCTCAAACGTTGTGAAAGAGAAGAAGAGTCCACGTGTGTGCGCTTCCTGTGGGCCGATGTGGCATTGGCAGCGTGCGCTAACAGTGTTTGTAATGACAGGAAACAGGAACCCCTGAGGTGTGTGTGTGTGTGTGTGTGTGTGTGTGTGTGTGTGTGTGTGTGTGTGTGTGTGTGTGTGTGTGAGTGATCTATCTTTAACCCTGCTGAACCGGATGGATCTGTCGCTCTGCTCTCAGGCACTTGCAGCTTATTTGGACCGAGAGCTGCAGGCGTGTACGCTTTCACCACATCAGGCTTGGGAGGCTCCTCCTCCTCGTATGTTTGGGTCTGTCAGCGCCTCAGATCTGTTCCTGCGGGGCGTCCAGCTCTTACTATAAATAAACACAAACATTTTACTGACGTCTGAGTTCATCCCTGTGATGTAGAGGTATCAGCATGACATCTAAGAAAGCCTGCTGATGATTTTTATGGCTGAATGTTTTTGGCAACGTCCTGCTCCAACAGGCAGGATCGGTGCGCCCCTGACCGCGCTGCCGCGCCCCTGACCGCGCTGCCGCGCCCCTGACCGCGCTGCCACGTCCGACATAACCACTAAAGTAACCAAATTGTTGTTTTCCCAGGAAATTTAAAGTAACAATGTAACTAAACAGCTAACCCTTGAGCAGTAACCATAGTAACACTGGTCCTGACATGAGATGTCACACCTGCGACGACGTTGGTCTTCCTGTTATCAGTAACTCGTCCTCTGTTTCTCAGCCCAAACTGACGACACCTGGCTCTTACTCTCAGACATGTTCGGGCTTGTTGTGTTTCTGAATGTCGATGTGTGTTGTTGCTATAGCTGCAACGATATCATGAGCATCATATGCAGTACGATCATATCTGTACAGCAATGGCACGGCTGTGATGGAGCACTCTTAGGGATCTGAAGCGTTCGCTCCGAGTTTAAACGATAAACCGTTGGAGAGCGGCCATCTTTGTTGTCACTTGCCGGCCTCACAGTGACAGCAGGTCAGTGAGAGGCAGGACGTTAGCATCCACCCATCAGAGCAAACACATGAGAGACTGCAGCTGACGTAAATGGGCAGAGGTCAGCTGACTCGCTACCTCGCACCTGCTGGCTCGTCCTGTCTGTAGAAACTCTCGGGGCCTCTCACCAGCTCAGCTTCATCTTCTTCATCTTCCTTCGTTTTTTTTTTTTAATGACTCAGCTGTGTCTCCACGCACACACAAATGCAGGCACGTGAGAGACAAACGATCTTCAACTTTATTCTAAGCGTCTGCAGCGTGCCCAGACCTGTCTGTGAAACTACAGAGACGCAGCTTCGCTGTTCTCAGACGTGATGAGGAGGGGCGGGGCTAACTGTCAAACTGTGTGATCGTTCGCTAGTGACGATTAATCACTGACAGAACTCGGCCGTGTTTTGAAGCGTCTGCGGTCTGAGTGTCTCTGGGTCGGTTCATTAAACAGAGGAAGGTCTCTGTCGATGGGTGATGTAACAGATCCACAGTGATGCGGGCGTGCATCGACCCGCCGTGGTGAGGACTCTGCCGGGTCGTGAGCTGTGGGGAAGGTCACCTGCAGGGTTTCCTTCGGTCTCCTGGCTCGCTCTGCGAGCACGTGCTCGCTTCAGAGATTCGTCATCATTATTGGGATGAACGAGCTGAACTGAAGTGCGAGTTTAAGCTTTCTGCCAAAGGCAGCGTGAGACAGAAGTGCGAGCTTTGCAGCAGGAATGATTGTTGGGAGGCCAAAGTGAGCCCAACCTCACGCAGACGGCTCAGCGGAGCTCGTATACCTGAGATCAGCTCGGGGGGAGTGTCAGGAGCTCCGACGTGCAGACGGAGAGATGCTGCTGAGCGGGAACGTTTTCCAAAGAGGTCGAACTCAAGCAGCTGCTGCTTTTGTGTGTGTGTGTGTGTGTGCGCGTGTGCGTGTGCGCGTGTG